CTCTGGAGGTCTCGGAGGAAGTGAGGCAGTACCTGAAGACCCCGACTTTTGATAACTGGTGAGTTCTGGTGTGAGCGTTAACAAACACAGCAGCTTTTTCCTCAGAGAGGCAGCCAGTCAGCTGATGACGGCTGATTCTGAAGAGGACTGGACCTTTTGTTCTGATCCACACCTTCATCTGAATATGAATGGGTCTTCAGAGGCTGGCTCAGAATCAAAGCTTCATCAACAACAACAAACCCGTTTGAAGTGAGGTCTGGATCCATTCACTGAAGCTGCACCAACATCACAGCATCTTTAGAGYAAACCCTGAGTGGGAGGAGCAGAGTTCAGGACAAAATCACAACATCCAGGAGGTCAAATCAAGGATCAAAAACATCCAGGAGGTCAAATTCTCAAAAAAAAAAAAAGATAAAATGTTATTTTTATTTGTGTTTTGTGTTGTAATCAGATGGACAATTTAAAAAAAGTCTAACATGATCACACCATTTGACTTCTACTAGAGTTCATAAAAAGACCAAAATGAACAAAGACCGTCTGATTCCTGACTCCTGTAGACCTTCTGACTCCTGTAGACCGTTTGACTCCTGTAGACCGTTTGACTCCTGTAGACCGTTTGACTCCTGTGGACCTTAAGACTCCTGCAGACTTCAGACTCTTGTAGATCGTCTGACTCCTGTAGACCTTCTAAATCCTGTAGAAGTTTAGTTTTTGTTTGGATCTCGGATCTCGGTTCTGCAGGCAGTGGGAGGACGCAGAGATCATGGTTCTCCTGCAGGTCATGTACACGGACTTGGACTTCATTGCCACCTTCCACATTGAGCCTGAAGTTCTGCAGCAGTTTCTGTTCGAGGTCTACCGCAGATACAACAACATCCCTTTCCACAACTTCAAACACTGCTTCTGTGTGACTCAGATGGTGAGGACTGAGATCCAGGTCAGAACCAGTGGTCCATCTCTGGTTCTCATCATGTTTTGATGTCCTCTTTGAGCAGATGTATGGTCTGATCTGGTTGACCGACTTGAGGAGTAAAATGGACGCCATCGACCTGCTGATCATGCTGACCTCTGCAGTGTGCCATGACCTGGACCACATGGGGTACAACAACGCCTACCAGGTAACCGGACCTGAGACCCTTCAACTTCAGAGGACGTCTTTTTGATTGTTTGTGTTGTGCTGATAATTGTTTTTCAGATAAATGCACGAACTGAACTGGCTCTTCGCTACAATGACATCTCTCCTCTGGAAAACCATCACTGCGCCGTGGCTTTTGAGATTCTGGAACGGGTAAGAAGGAAAACGGATCTATTGGCTGTAAAACAGAATCATCTGATCTCTGTTTCTGTAGAAGGAGAGCAACATCTTCAGAAATCTGACCATGGACCAGTTCAAACGGATCAGGGAGGGAATCATCAAGTGAGACCAGCTGTATTATCACTATTTCCAGATTCTGATGGCGGCTTTTAGCTTTGGACACTGTTTTTGTCTCTGCAGGTGCATCCTGGCTACAGACATGACGAGACACAACAAGATTCTCAACAAGTTCAAGTCCATCCTGAGTGCTTTTGATTTCGGCAACAAGGAACACAAAGATCTGGTGAAACTAATACATCAGAACAGGAAAACCTTGTAGAAATAATATGTTGAATATAACCAAAAAGTTAGCTTAGCTAATTCATAATCCGGTAACTGAAAATATAGCTTTGCTAATTAATCCAAAACTGTAACACAGTAATATGAGGCGATGTGGTTAGGGGAGTCGTCCCGTAAGCGCCAGTTCAATCCCCCATTCCAGCTGTCTCAGTTGTTGTGTCCTTGGGCAAGACTTCACCCACCTTGCCTACTAATAGTGGTCAGAGGGTCCGGTGGCGCAGGTGCATGGTAGCCCCGACTCTGTTAGTGTACCCCAGGGCAGCTGTGGCTACAATGTAGCTTACTGCCATCAGTRTGTGAATGGGTGAATGTCTGTAAGTGTAAAGCGCCTTGCGGTACAGACGGACTTGATAAAGCACTATAGAAGTTCAGTCCATTTACCATTTAATAAAACTAGCAGAAGCTAATGGTAACAGCTAATTGCTATCCGCTAAGACAACTGTCACTCAGTCGGTGTCACACATCTTCGCCTCCATGGAGCTGAAGATTGGTAGGACTGACACAAACCTGTTGATGTTAACCTGTTAGCTGTTAGCAGACTTAAATGGCTAAACCTAACTAACTGAAAGCTAACTGGTCCGCTAATGGTTTACAAAGTTGTGAAAAATGTGCAAAAGCTAATCTGCTAAATAAAAATTATTTACGCTGTTAGCTGATTAGCGGAACCGTGCACATGCTTCAACTTCCGCTAACTGCTAACTAGCACTAGTATAAACAGACTATACCTGAGCTAGTTAGAGGACATAATGTTGTAAATACTTAGTTTAGTAGAAGCTAATTGGACTGCTAATGGTTTTCAAAGTTATTGAAAAGGCTAATCCGCTAAATTAGTAATGCTGTTAATAAGTGGATCCACACAACTAGAGATAGACTATACCTTGTGGTGTGCATGCTAACAGCTAACCAGCACCATAAGTAGCTAATCGGTCTGCTAACAGTTGTCAAAGTTGGTGAAAAAGCGAATTCATTAAAAAAACCTGTTAGCAGCTTTTAGCCACCTGAACTGAGAACATTGTTTCTGCAGCTGATGATGATCCTGATCAAAGTGAGTGACATCTCCAACGAGGCGCGGCCCATGGAGGTGGCCGAGCCCTGGCTGGACTGTCTGCTGCAGGAGTTCTTCAACCAGGTACCAAACTAGGATCTTCTGAAACCAGAACACGATTCAGTCAGAAGCTGCAGGAAATGATGTCACAGTTCAGTTTTCAGTCCAGTGTTTCTGTCCCAGAGTGACGTGGAGAAGCTTGAAGGTCTCCCGGTGTCCCCCTTCATGGACAGAGACAAGGTAACTAAACCGTCGTCTCAGATCGGCTTCATCAGGTTCGTCCTTCTGCCCCTCTTCATCGAGTTGGCCAACCTCTTCCCCTGCCTGGAGGTAAGAACCCCAACCCCCCTGAACCCCCCCATCAACAGCAGTTTGTTTTAAATTTAGCTGTTCTTCCTCCGTTCTGCAGCAGCACATCATCGACCCCGTGAGAAAAGCTCTGGACTACTACACTGAGATGGAGAAAGCTCTGGAGAAGGAGAAACAGAACTGACTGAGAACGTGTCCAAGAACAAGGAGGAGCAGAGTGAGGACAGGAAACACAACTAAACACAAATTTAATCATCTTATTTACAACATTTTATATCTTTTGATGGTTATTTACGTCTACTTGGACCTTGTGCTTTAGGATTTTTGTGACATTTTGTTTTTTCACCTTTAAAGATTTAGGATATAGCTCCAACTGCCTTCTAGTGGTCAGCTTGGAAATAGCAGCAATTTCAAGTTTTTCCTCTTTATTCATGATTTCTAATTATATAATTTATTGTTGACTAATATAAAATAAAATGTTTACAATGAATCTTGGTGTGATAAAACATTTTTATCTTTAAATGCTTTTGGCTCTTGGGGTTTTTATTTGGTGTCACTGGTTGAAAAAGATGGAGAAACCAATCAGAACACAGGAAGTGGCTGAAGTGGACTTTTAAACAGCTGATATTTGCTCCTTGTGGCTGAAACACCTGTATTTGATCCTGATAAAAGGTGCAGGACCACCGCTGGACAGCAGGTGGAGGTCTAAGGTTGGCCATGAAGGATCCATGTCTCCAAGATTCAGGAGAGTCCACTGAAAAACTGGAGGTTTTTCTGCCTTTAACACCAAATATTGAAGCTTTTATCCACTTTAAATAGAATTTTACTTACCAAAAAGGAAATCAGTGTTGGCTTCAAACCCATTTCAGTGATCGGACGTTCTGCAGCTCAAACTTTAGGATCTAATTTTAGTTTGTTATGATCAGAAGAAAAAACCGTGGAGTGAAAGAGGAGCAGKGTGAACTCTCTGACTCTGAAACAGCTGCAGCACCGGAGACAAAACCAGACAGAGGCCAACCCAAACTGAAGCTCAGAAACCAGTCAAGACTAAAAACACTCCTTTTCACTAATAACTGTAGAAGAAACTGAACCGTTTGATGTAATTTTAGCCTAAAGTCATGTAGCGTTGATTAATTAAAGTGTAAAGTGTAGTTTAGGATAGAAATAGTTAATCACCCTTTCTGTTTCTCTCCTAAATTCTCGCTACATTAAGAAGCAAAACGGATGAACAGTAAAATTTTGTTTCAATGTTTTTATATCAACAAACTTGATATTAAAAGTTTCTTGTTTTCGTGAATAAACTTTTGTTTTTACGGCCATAAAACATACAAAAAGAAAGACAGAGTGATGTCAGAAAAATGTTAAATTTTAATATTTACCGACAACCAAACAGAAAAACTTTAACTTCAAACTTGATTTATGACAACGGATTTAAAGAAATTCAGTGTAAAACTGTTAAAAAATGCTGTTTGTCACGTTTTTTAAAGGAAAACTTGAAAAAGAAGACCTTTGCTTTTCAAATATCTGAACTTATTTTCTTTCTTCTTTTTTTTTTTTGGCATTAAATCACATTTGGAAGTTATTTTCCCCAATTTAAAATAAATAAATAAATAAATAAATAAATAAATAAATAAATAAATAAATAAATCAGATTCATGACCCATAAAGTTTTTTTGTTATCTCCTAATTATAACTCATGATTGTAAGAAACTCATAAACACAACTTATAATTCAGCTTTGAATTAAAGCGGCACAAATGGACTTCCATATCTAAGATACCTAATTAATGGAGTTTAAAAAAAACACAAATCAAAGATTAAAATATAGTTCTTCTTTAAATTGATCTTTTTGTAAAAAATAACAAGTTGACTAAACGTTTCTCCTGTAAAAACACTAAAATTATYTATAAATTTAGACAAATCTGTTTCACTGAGGAACAGATCAGGTGATCAGTCCCTCTGAGAGGGGCGGGGCGTGTTTCAGCTCCTCAAACCTGATTGGACGGTCTGTGAAGACGCCTGTTRCCGAGCAGCCAATCGTTAGGACCGATGCGGTTGCGTCATCAGCGGGGAAGGTCCCGCCCCCCTCCTGCCGGAGCTCTGCTCGGTTTGAACCCGAGGCTCGAGCCCATCCGAACCGGTCAAAGATGGACCCGCTGGTCGCAGCCATCGATCAGGGCACGAGCTCTACGAGGTTCCTGGTGAGTGACGTCATCCATTCATCTTTTATCAGCTGTTAAAAACAAAGAGAAACATTTCACAGACAAACAGGATTTGTTGAACTTTAACAGTCTGAGCTGCATTTTTACAATATTTATCATCATTTTACACATTTAGACAGACACGGAACTGTGCATAAGTCTTAATCCAGACTCCTCAAATCCTCCAAAGTGGTTCTGGTTGGGTTCTCCAGACCAGTCCAGTAAGACACTGAAGCTTTTATTGTGAAGGAGTTATAGTGAAGTTATTGTTCTGTAATAAAGGAACCAATGAATGATATAAAAACTTTATGAACCTGTTTTAAACAACAACCTGTCCTTGAAGACGAGTTTGGAAAACTTTTCATAACTGTTTGTTTGAAAACAAAGTATAAAAAAAGAGATTCTGCTGATGTAGAAACAATTTTAAAGGTTGTGGTCAATAATTATCAAGCTTTCCTAACGACCTTTGACCTTCAGTCGGCTCCGGACGGTTTTACCTCCGTGGCTGCTTCAGGTTTTAGTCCTGATCATTAATCTGCTGCTTTATTTGATTTTCAGACATTAACTGAAGAAGAAACATGAAGAAATCTGAACGTGATTTCCCATCATGCTCAGTGTGACATCATGAGACTTTTATTTTGAAATCTGGGTTTTACAGGATTTCCAAACAGAAAACTGTTTCAAACAGCTGATTTAAGAGTTGTGTTCATCAGTGTTCACAAACACAGACGTGTTTGTGTTCATGGACTGCTGAGTAACCTGATGAATAATCTGATGAATAATCTGATGAATAATCTGATGAATAATCTGATGAATAATCTGATGAATTGTTGGTCTGTAACTTCATCCTCTTAGTTCATTAAAAGCAGCTGACTCCCAGATTATAATCTGTTCAGGCTCCTCTCCTTCAGCTGTCTGTGTGTCACACTGTTGTGTTGAAGTAATGTTACTGATTGTTAAACCTGTTTTCTGCAGGTTTTCAACACAAAAACAGCCGAAGTGATCGGTCACCATCAGGTGGAGATCAGCCAGAGGTTCCCGAAGGAAGGGTGAGTCCAAACGTCCCGTCGGCACCTGGACCACATTTACACACAGAACTCATCCAGGATCAGAGCTGAGAAACTGGTTCAAACAGAACTTTTCTTTGTTGTTTTAAATAAACCAAACCTCAGATCACTGCAGATTACTGTTTTAACACATTTTAAAAGTTTCCTGCATTATTTTATTATTCTTAAAAAATATTTTTCTTGTTTTAATTTACTTTGATTTAAGATTTTAGTTTCTTGTAAATCACCAAACAGTTTATTTGTTTTCATGAGAAAAATAAATCAAGTCAAACTCCAGCAGTCAGCAGTTTTTACAGTTATAAATCAGCTGCTTTGATGTTGGAACTTTACTGAGTCAAAGGTTGGTTTTTATTTCAGTCAGAAACAAAATCATTTACACTTTACTTTGTTTACACTTTACTTTGTTTACACTTTACTTTGTTTACAGTTAGTGTTTTCTGTTTGCAATTTACTTTGTTTACACTTTACTTTGTTTAGTTTACAGTTTACTTTTAGTTTACAGTTTACTTGTTTTCTGTTTACACTTTACTTTGTTTAGTTTACAGTTTACTTTTAGTTTACAGTTTACTTGTTTTCTGTTTACACTTTACTTTGTTTAGTTTACAGTTTACTTTTAGTTTACAGTTTACTTGTTTTCTGTTTACAATTTACTTTGTTTAGTTTACAGTTTACACTTTTAGTTTACAGTTTACTTGT